TGTGTGTATGTGTGTATGTGTGTGTATGTGTGTGTGTGTATGTGTGTGTTGGTGTTCTAGGTGTGATGGCACACATCCATGATCCTATGGCTTGAGAGGTAGAAGCAGTAGGATCAAGAGACCAAGCTCATCCTCAGATACATAGCAAATTATCAGTTAGCCTGGGCTAAACTGAGACTCTGTCTCAAACAACAGTAACAAACAGACAAGGAAACAAACAAAACCTGCCACTAGCAACCATTAAAAACCCACGAACAAAAATGAAACAACTATGTATCCTGTGGTATATACCAATACAACACATCGCTGTGTGAGTTCCTGGAGCTGCTGTGACAGACTAAGTGGCTTAACAACAGAGAAATATTTTACGGTGCCAAGGCTGGAACTCTGAGGTTAACATAAAAGCAGGGTTGCTTCCCTCCAGGCCTCTCTCTTCGTTTCTCATGCTTTGCTGTCAGTCTTTGTCACTCCTTGATGTTTAGATGCTTAACCCTAGTCTCTGCCTTCATCGCCACTTGGTGTCATTTCTCTGTGTGTCCCTGTGCTGATTATGCTATTACAAACAGCATTTACAGTGACTGTGTTTTTAATATACTTTTACATATAAATTTGTTCAAGGATATAAATTACAAGTATGTAGACTCAATTTTAAAGGGATATTACTAGATCAAAAGGAATGTGCCTTTTACATTTTTCTAGACCTCAAACTTAAAGAAAACATTAATTAGAAAGTGCTAAAGAGCCCCCACTGACCTGCAAAGGAGCCACAAAACTTTGTTTTAACCAAATGGCAGACACTAGTTAGGTTTGTTGTTACTAGTTAAATATTAGACAGGAAGTAATTTCAGCTGATAGGTGGCTATGGACTTGTTTTTTTTTTCAATTGGCCTTTTTAATTTTAATCTTTAAGTACTTAAGGAAATTTCTAGCAATAGCAAATTTCTGATACCAGAAACACAAAAATAAAATTCACCAGCAACTCCATCATGGAGCGCTTATGTTGAATGACATTCCAGATATTTCTATACATGAATACATGTTTTTTTTCTTTGCCAATTGGGACTATATTTTTATTCCCCCCCCCATTTTATAGAACTGTACTAGTTATACTGTTTGGGAAACTTTTTCCATTAGAACAAAAGCTTATGAACCTAGAAAACAACTGTGTGGTGAGAGTTTCCATGTGCCTCTGAATGCCATAATGTGTTGTGTGGTTAGAATAAAAAGCACTTAGCCTTGTATTGTAACCTCATTTGTCTGTTCTCCTGCTCCCTGGCCCCAGACTTTTAAGACCCAGGAGGACAAACTGATAATGTGCAAGAGCGAGTGCTACTTGCTAACTAAGGGGCAAGGACTAGCTATTGTGGGAGCATACAGGATGGACACCTAATCTAGAGCAGAAAAATCCAAGAAGACTGCCAGGAGAAAGTCATGAGCAGGGACTAGTGACTTGAAAGGGATAGAAGGGACAGCATACCTGATGGCTGGGAGGAAAGAGGAAGACTGGAGAGTGGGATAGTTGTCAATGGTTCAGTCCACCCTGCACAGCAAGAGGCTGCTGGAGTGGGAGAGGCAGCTGGCTATGGGAGAGGAAGCTGAAAGGAACAAGTCACATTGTCCTTTAAGTCAAGTTTAGGATTTAAGATTTTATCCTGAGTATGATGGGCTACCACCGAGGCATTCATTGTAAATAGGGGTCTTCAGATTATCTCCTTTTGGAAATGATTCTCTAAGAGTTGGGCTTACCTTCCCACCTTGCCTGGCTTTGATTCTTGCATTGCTTAACTACTCTTAAACCTTATATTTCATTTAGAACCAGGAGCAATTGAAAGATGATGACTCCGATCTTATTCTCAATGATGGTGATATCAGTTTGACATATGGGGATTCTACTGTGAACACTGACTCTGCAACAGCCAGTGCCCCAAGGAGATTTATGGGCAACAATTCTGAAGATGCCTTGGATCGGGAGCTTACATTTGGGGACCACGAACTAGTCATTCGTGGAACACGCCTGGTTCTTCCGATGGATGATTCTGAACCTGCGTTAAATTCATTAGATGACACAAGACACAGTCCAGCCTAGGCTTTCTAATACTCACTTAGTGGTTTGTAAACTTTGCACATGTGATTGTGAAGAAATGTGTACTACCTACAAGTCCTAGTGCATGTCTCCGAATGTGTAAGCTATATAAATGCTATTTATATGGCATAGGAAGAATATAAGTACCCTGTACAAGGCAGGTTGTGAGCAATCTGTTCTCTTAAGTTTTGCTGGCTGCACTACATTGGCCGGATCTCTTTTAGAAAGTTCCTTTCACAGTAATGTTGTGTGTTCTGTTAGTTTTATGTTTCAGATAAAGTATAAAAAGTGACAGATTGACCCTTTCTTATATTTATCTGACACTTAACCAGAGTACTAAGTTCTTGTGATGTGAATTCATTTGTGTGTGTCAGGGAATGGGGAGGGAGGGGGGAGGGAAGGGGGAGCTGTTATTCCCTGGGGAACCTAAGGAGGAGAGGTTCCTTTGTTGGAAAACTTTTGTTGATTGCTGCTGCCTTTGTCATGACTTTTTTCTTTCCCTTTTCTCTGGTGGCCCTTTGTGGTGCAAGGAGCTGATGGCATTTTGATCTCACCCCATTCAGGTTGGGGACTGAAGTGTGGGGGCTGTTTTCCCCCATTGATGTGAAAGAACAGATTTCTTGACTTCAGTTGCTCTGAGAAAGAAGGCTACACCCCACCTCCAAGACCTTATTTCTTTTCTTTCACACCAACACCATAGGAATTGCATCCAGCTGGCTTAGCCAAAGTATAGGTGTATATAGTTCAGGGCACTTGTTACAGATTTAGGGGCACTGGAGCAAGTGGACAATGGGGCGTAGGGTGGTGGTGTTGGAGGTCTCTCTTCCCACATATGTAAATATTCAATACCGGTAAATTGTAATATGAAATTTCATCGCTGCTGCTTCATTTTTGATTATGTTTTTTGCGTGTATAGTAAGCCTTGTCACCAGAAGTTTTTATATCACTTTAAATCGCTGCTCTTCAGCAGCCAAACAGGAGCAAAATGTAAAATTTTTAAACTTAAGATGTTTAATGTTCATTGTTAGTCCGTAGTTGATGTTAAAAGTTAATTTATGAACCCACAATTGTTCTGTACTACACCAAAGACTGTAAGAGAAACACAGTGCTCTGCAGTGTCTTTGAAAGGATTCTCTTTTTTGTAAAGTGGGTGTAGTTGTTGTCATTGTCATGTTACTTTTTAAATATTAGACACCTAAGCTGCCATGTGTTATTTTTGATAGTTTTTAAGGAAGAGCACAGAACAGTTTTTCATTTCATATTCATAGTATGAAAGTGGTTTCTATTTTGTAATGCTGCAAATACCTAAAGGTACACTGAACACTTGGAAGGGGAATACTTTTTGATGCTGATTCTGACCTATTTGAGATTCAGGAGAAAAAAATACAAACTTTGTGCATTCCCCCCCTCAAGTCTGAGGAGCATTGCCTTAAATATAACCCAATTCAAAAATTGATTACTTATGTGATGTTCAAATTTTCCACTGAAAAATACCCTTCCAAGCAAAACATGCACTTACTCTCCAAAAGGGTTCTGTGCCATTGTAAACACTCCTGGAGATAGATTTTAAGGGGACTCTAATGTTGTACCCTTTGTGGCAGCCTTGACTGTTGGCATGGCCATTTGTTACGTAGCAGTAGTGACTTCCCTGCTATGCAGGAACTCCTCCTGTGAGTGTACATTTTATATGATGTGTGGCTCTTCGTGCAGTAAATAATTTCTTCTTAATGTATGTTTGGGGGGGAGGATTGAATGTCAGCATCATTATTCCACACAGTTATTCAAATTGTAAAAGGGTATACAGTAATTTAACTACTATCGTTTTTATTCTGTCAGGTTACTGAGCTCATAGTATAAAAATGACTATAAATACTTAGCATGAAAAATTATGTAACCTGTTTCTTTCCGCATGCATAGACTTCTCATTAGGGACACTGATAATGCTAGAGTCCACTAAATCTGCCTTTAGTACTTTATCAAAGGGGAAGAAGCTTGTGCTTACGTCTTCATCTGGAAGATTTTTTCCCTCTCTCGCCTGTGTACACAGCCCCATGCAAAGAGAAAACCATCTCTGTTGAGACAGCCGTTGGAATGAAAGACCTGAATGAACTTTGATGAAGTACAGTCTGAGTAACCATCATGCATGAGTGAATTGCTCTCTTGGACCTGTTTTTTCTGTTGTTCGTGGAACCTACCTGTTTGATTGACTTGAACATTGCATCTTTCAGAGTTATTTTGTAAGATCTCCTGGCATTTATCCTAGTCTGTGTTTGGCAGTGTGCTGTTAAAGTACTAGACTTCTAATCTTTATGTGCTTTTTGTTTCCCCTTGGAGTACTTGGAAAGATGTTATAGTGGTTTCTTTTAGAAAAATCTGTCATTAAAAAAATTATAGCCTTGCAAATAACCACTCACTGTTATTTGAGTCACAACTTATTCTAGAGAGACATAAAGAATGCTGACTTCATTTATTTTTCTACCTTATATATACTGGAAAATGGGGAGGACTGGTGTTTTCAAAAGAAACTGAACAGTCCTTAACTTATGAGGTGGCAGAGTTGGGTGCTTTTATATAAGAGTGAGTGTATTTGCTTATGGTCACAATTGGACCCTTTATGAAATACTGCTCAAAACCATCTGATTCCATGAAATGGATTTGTAGCCTGTTAATGCAGTACCAGAGAATGTCATGAAAATAGTTGCATTGTACAGCAAGTGGGATAGTTGTGGATTGGGTTAGGTAGAAAGGCAGCTTCATGTTTGCCTGCAAAGTATGACCACATGAATAGTCCTTCACATTAAAGGTATGTTTCTCTTTGTACATGAGATGTTTTGTCGTTTAGAGTTTATATAGTCAGGGTTTTCTAGAGGAACAAAACTTAAAGAATTTATATGATTTAATTAAGAAAAAATCCCTCACAGGTGTGTCCAGCCATGTGGGTTTTAGTTAATTAATTTCAGATGTAGTCAAGTTGACAACCAAGAAACCACCTGACAGCAACATTAACGTGTGTGTGTGTGTGTGTGTGTGTGTGTGTGTGTGTGTACACACATTCTAATACATCCCATGTATATAGTGATCTATATGTGGGATTTATTAGAATAACTTTAGATATGCATATATGTGTGTATGTATATGTATGTCTATGGGATTTATTAGATGGCTTACAGGTTGTGGTCCAGTTAGTACAACAATGACTTTCTGCCAATGGAAGGTCCAAGAGTCCAGTAGTTGTTCAGTCCATGAGGCTAGATGTCTGAGCTGGTCTTCAGCATATACCAGAATTCTGAAGAAGTGGGCTCTCCCACCAGGGAAGGAACTGGCCTGCCAGCAATAGCAAGCAGCCAAGAAGAGAGTGAACTTCCTTCTTCCATGTCCTTTATGTAGGCTGCCAGTAGTAAGTGTGGCCCAGATTAGAGGTGGATTTTATGTCATCAAAAGATCTAGATTCGAAGTGGGTCTACCCACTTCAAATGAAGTAAGTAATTTAAAATCACCCTCACAGGTATACCCAGCCACTTGGGTTTCAGTTAATACCAGATATAGTCAAGTTACCCAAACATAGCCATCACAGAGTTGGCTAACAGCAACGTTGTTTAGTCTCATCAGTGGTACAAATCATGCTGTGAGTTATGTTGTGTTGCCCTCCACTCCAGCTTCCTTCCTTGTTGCTCACTCACTGGGGAGCACAGGTGGGAAACATCCATACCCAAGGCTCATGCCTTGCACAAATGTGTTTTTCTCACCACACAAAAGCCTTTATTAGATGTGAGCAAGCGCCTTCATTAACCTGACTTAAAGCTAGAATGGAAGGATGTGGAAGGATAGGTGTTTTTAAATTAATTGGAAAATTCTCAACAGGAAGGTCTATCAACATGGTGCCAGATGAAGCTTGTAAATAAACTGGAAATGTTAATAGCAGTTGTATTTTTAGAGTTCCTCTTAGGTACACGTAATGTATTTACATGGTACTTTTATTGTTTTAATTTTATGGCATGAGTGTACTCTCATTTTTCAGTTGAGACAGAAGTGCAGAGTTTACATGACTGGTAACCCATGGAGCTATGACTCAAATCCAGCCTCAGCCTGATTCCAAAATCCAGATTCTGTTGTTTTGATTTTAAGACAGGACCTAACCATAAAGGTCAAGCTGGCTTTGAGTTCACGGTGTAGCCCATTCTGGCTTTGAAACAAATGATCCTCCAATCTCAGCCTCCTGAGAGATGTGATTACAGGCGTGTACCACTACCACACCTAATATCGAAAGTCCAGTTTGGCACAGGTTCCATACTAAACTAAGTACAACCTGAAGATGAGACAGGGAGTTGTAGTCTTCAAGCCTGCTGCCCACCAACTTCCTGCCATCAGGCCAGGGTAAAAGATGAGGCGTCAGCTCTGTCCTGTATCTCCTGCCTTGTTGGCTGCCTTACATGGGTCTCTGGATGGAAACACTCTTAGCTGAGGGCCCCTCTAGTATCTTATCCAATGTGAGTGAAGCTGGCTGATTAGCAGCTTTGCCTTATACTCCCTTACACTGCCTCTTAGCCTGTCTTTCATGCCAGAGTATGTGATTGTGAACAATGGCTTTGTAGTCGTAAAGGTTGGACTAGTGTTTTAAACCCCAGATTCAAACTCAGGCCCTGCTACTGAGTGTGATGTTGACTAGTTACCTGACTTAATTTTTTCATTCTCTCCTCTTGCTGTTCAAGGGATCCAAGCTCATACTTTGAGCCACATACAGTGAGGATAGCAGAAAACAACTGAATAGCACTTTCTGCCAGCTTTCTGCCAAGTACTGTATGGAAAACACTGTCAATCATCTCTTGGGGTACTTGGGAATCACTCATGGAAGAAGTACTGCTTGGTTTCTAGTGGTAGTATATTTATTTTAAGTCATAACTTCAAATGCAGTAGTCATAAAAGCTATGACCAAAATGTAAGGACCCTCCCTGGAGTGATAGCAGGGCCACTGCTGACTTTTCTGTTACAGTAATGCTTGAGTTTAGATCCCAAGTGTTAGTTGGGGGCCAGCTGAGTGAAGTGATGAGGACCATTCCAAGCAGAGTGAAGTGACATTCCTTTAGCTGGGTATCTATTGAGTGACAAAGCATATACTTTGCTATATAATTCAGCAAGAAACAAAGTAAGGCTACTCTCACAGCACTTACCCATCAGCTGCAAGGACAGAATCCTAGTTCCAGTGTTAATCACAATGAGTGCCATGAGCCAAAATGTGCCTCTGCACCCTCCTCCCTTCCACCTAGGGTAAGACAACTCTGTCCTGTATGTCAC